ACAGCAATGTCTACCAACACAAGATCTAGTCATCGGCTTGTTTGTATTACTCTTAACTTTTCACATGTTGCGTAAGGGTAAGTCCAAGCAATTAATACTTCGCAGTATCTGTATGACTCTTTCCGCTTAGAAAGAATTAGGAAAAACCCTCAGGGAAGAAATACATGAAGAATTGGCAACGCCATTCCTTGCTTATGCATCAAGAACAGCTTTACTCACTCAAATTACAATCCTGGGAAAACTGTTACAGATTCATCGTCATGGGAAACGTGCAGAAGTAACGCACGGAACCGCGCACGGGCAGAAGGTGTGAAGAGGGACCCGGGCAGTCGCCCGGGATCAGCACCGGTCGGGATCCCACAGCAACAGGCTGCGACCGCCCGGCAGCACCGACTGTCCCTCCAGACCCAAACCAACCCGCTCCCCAAACACACACAACTGCACCGCCGAAACGGGCACGAGCTCCTTCCCAGTAGCCAGTTTTCTCACCTTGCAAAAACCCCCAGATTTAATGCACCTTCAAAACTAGAAGTACCCAAAAGCATTGCTAACAAAGGAACAACAAACATAATCACCTTTGAGCATCGAGTTTATCCTTTGGTATTAGAAAATAAATATAAATAAATTTTTGGAATGGCTACAACACTGTTAATTTATATTTTTTCTATAATGACAACATATGCTGTATTTGTAGAAAATACTTCTAAATATTACATTTAGATTTGTAAAAATTTGTATTAATTCTACCAAATTTATATTTATTCTATTACTATACAAACATTGCAGTTAAGTCGGAGAGAAGGCAGCAATATAAATGAAAAGAAATTCGATTATTGCAAAGCTGGGGGTCTGACTGCTTTTGATGGTGTCTGTGGCAGCAGCACAGGAGTCAAAACAACATTCTGCAGTGCTGCTACAGCAATCTGAAGTGTGTGTGTGGGACAAGACACCACAGGAACAGTTGAAGAAAATTACTGACGATAATATGTATGACAGAGTAACCTGTCTTTATAATAGAAGATTTTAATTTCTTAGATGTCTTTGGAACTATGATACCGTATGAAACAAGTGAAGGATAACTTTCAAGCATGTAGGAATTTCCCTAGGCAGCAGTTTGAATAGCCTGCTTCCTATGACCTTGATTTATTTGCAATTTTAAAGACAAAATGAAGTATGGAATTTAACACATGGGGTGGGGGAATTACACAGACACGTGAATATACCAGTGTTAATGATGAGGAAAAAAAAAAAAAATGCCGTGCAGGAAGACATCACTACAGTCACCATAGATTGCGCTAATCCTTAACGCTGTCATATGTTGCATTCTCTTTGCTGACACTATTCCCCTCCATTTTGTCTGTTTAGCTCGTTGAGATTTGGGGATGGTTTCTTAAACATTGCAGACAAACACATCCGACAAAAATGTGCTGGTAGTTAATTAAAAACTTATCCAACCCCCCTCAAGAATAGGCAGTATGGGACGGATGAGTACAGCCGTGGGGATGCAAGTGCACCAAGGCTCACAAAGCACAAGCCAAGGGCCATTCCCTTTATCCTTCTTGGTAATAACCCCCCTCATTTAGCTCTTGGGCTGCTGCTGCACACTGAGCTAAGGAATCACAAAAGCATCAATGACAACCCAGAACCCCTTCCCGAGTCCCAGCTGCCAGCTCTGAGCTCCGTACTGTACAAGCAACGTATAGATAATATCCCCGAGACACACAACCTTACATTTTCTGGATGGAGGTTCCCCCGCCGGTTTGTCCGTGTGCCCCCTGCGCTTCCAGAGAGCTTCCTAGCCTGGCACTCAACTCCCCAAAATAGCTCCGTATCAGCTAACCCAGAAACCTCCTCACACGCTCCCTTTTCAGGCCCCGTCTCAGCACTGAGCCGCAGGGAACCAGGCAGTCGCCTTCTCATCCTGAAAAGCAACCACTAAATCCTACCCTTCGCTTCCCATTCTCTAACCAGCTCTCAAGCCCATAAAAGAACCACTTTTCCAGTTCCATGACAACTTTTTTTTTTTTTTTTTTTTTTTTTTCCGCTGTTGGTTTCATTCTTTTTTAAATGGCCTCTGGCAAGAAAGCACATCAAACACTCAAAAGAAAAAAAAAAAAAAAAAAAAAAACAAAAAACAAACACAAATACATTCAGGTCAATTGGATTTCCCCTGTCCACAGGCTCGCTGACAGTCTCACAGAACTCCAGGATGTCGGATGAGGTGGTGTTTTCCTTCCAGGAGCAAGAACAGCTCTTTCCCAAGAGACTCGTGGGCTCGGTGACCTTACAGCTTTATAACCTACCTCCCTGCCAAGGGCAGAAGTTGGACTCGCTAACTCAGAGTGCTCCAGGTCCCGTTTTCACCGGAGGCACGCTGGCAGCCTGTCCCTGCTGCGGGTTCGCAGAGCTGCCCTTTCACAAGGCACTTCACAAACTCCTTTTTTTAACCCCACTCAATTTCCCATTTACAGTCGAATTTACATATTTTATGGGACTTTTGTTCATCATATTTGGGCAAGTTTTTCCCCATTTTAAAATAGCGATTTTTTTTTTAAATTATTTTATTTTTTAAATTAAATTGAGCTACTTGGAGCTATCAGTCTATCACAAAGCGATACATTTCTGGTATTCAGTTTTGCTAGCCAATCTCCAAGCTGTTTAGGGGTTCCTTAGTGTTGTTGCTGCTTTTGGCTTTCTGTTTTTTAAGCCAATTGCCTCATTTACATGTAGTTCCCTCTTTCACAGTTGTCTGCGCACTGGACTTGGCTTACTGCATCGCACACAGCCTCCCAGGACACCCCCAGCCAGCCGCTCCGAACACGGCCACACCACCTCCGGCAAGGAGAGCGACGGAGCTGGTGGCACCACCGCGGGGCACGGCAGCCGCATCCGTGTCAGGGACGGCAACTTCCCAGAAACACCGAGCCACCGCTGCACCTGCAGACGCCTCCGTAGTCTGTGGAAGGCTTTTAACTTCCCAATCCCATAAACACCCTGACACAGCTCACCATTTAGTCAGGGAGATTCTTACAATATGATGGCGAATTATCATTGCTGAGCCACCGGATTTCAAACACGATCTGGGAAAAAAAATCCACCTTACAATTAGCACCCAACCGACAGGCATCATTTAGTAAGCACGTTACATGTGTTTAGAAAGGATACTCCAAAGTCACGTGTGTGGCACCCAACCACCTTTTGAATCTTTGAGGGTTTTTAGAACTCTACAGATCTTTTGAATACACAATCAAACCAAATCCAAAAATCTGATCCCAGCTGGAGCAGAACATTGTCATGTGACAGTGGCTTCTATCAGGGCGAGGACACGTACCGTAGTGCTCAGACCATGTTTTCGAAGTCATTATTTCAACTTGCAATGCACAGACAAGTAGTTATGCCATCTTTATAAAACCAGAACCATTACAAGTAGCTTCAAGTAGGAAAACCAGGAGTGAACAAAAAGCTTTGTTGCACTTATTTCCCATTTTTAATGCAGAACCTAGAAAGAGACTCCCTGATCCAAAAAAGGAGGCCAAGGTTGCTCTTAAACAAAGAATGAGCCAAAAGAATATGCATGCCCCTCAAGACAACAGTAAGAGTCTGGGAGATAAACATCTCCGACTGCTGAAATAGGATGTTTTAGATAAAATTCTGAATTGCAGTTTTGCCATCTATTTCCAGGAAGTTTTAGCACTTCCCTTGTTAGGTATGTGTTCTGTTTAATTTTTAAATTAGGATGGCAGTTTTAAGATGTCCATGTCTTGAAACGCTGCATACAGGAAGACAGAGTTGGTAGCACTTACAAATGCTTGGAAAGATTCAAAGAGCTAAATGCTGCATTTCCTTTAAAGCTCTTCCTCGGTTTATAGGCTGGGGTCAGCCAGGAATAGAAACACAAGTCACTTCCTCCCTCCCCAGTGGTATGCTGCGCAACTTAACCATATAGTTTTGATCTGCAAGATGGAACAAACTAAGTCACAAAAACAAGTGGACTATTAGCAATATTCCAACCTCCTGACTTTTATTTAATAAAATATCAGACGTTCCAACCTTTAACGTGTTAAAAGAGTCTTTAAAGAAGAATCTTTGAAGTGATCAAATAGGTCCAAGCTCATTTGTCAAACCAGTTGCTCTGGTTGGAAAGTAGCTGTCAAATATCTAGCTTGACTAAGAATGTAATCTTGCAGGCATCCCAATATTAACTGCTCACTTAAATAAAAAAGTGTAAAAAGAATGCTCTGCTACTCAAAATAAAGAATTCTGAGCATTCAGATTTTTACAACATTTACATTTTATAAGAGGAGTTTTAGCACTAAATTTATTTTTTATTAAACCATGCACATAACTTGCAAATACCCTGGCACTTCATTTGAACAGACTTGTCTTCTCCAACTATGGAAAGCTAATTCATTACAACACTTGTTAGATTGGTTTTGTTAAAAATGAAGGTGTCAGAATAGCTTCCTTGTCAGTTTAGAAAATGGCAGATGCGTGGGGCTTAGTAGAAATACATGTTCAGGAAGGGCAGAATTCATAAAGCTATATGCAAATGAAACCAAGGGACTCTCCACACAGACCAGGACTCAGATTTTAAAAAAGATTACTTCCCACTGAAATCGGTGTGGCCAAATGACCTTTAAAAAGCCTGGGCTGGGCTGTAACAAAGTAGAACAGGTTAGAGAAAATGCTTTCTGAAATATGCATTAAAGTAGTAGCTCTCTTGTCTCTAGACAGCACCAAGGGAGACTGTATTTGTGACACAGGATCTCTTCCATACTTTGTGCTACTTCAAATAATAGAGAGCAAGCATACAATTTAATGTTCAGTTTTCTGTTAAACCTTAAGTTTATCATTTGGGCAAAGCAAATAACACAAAAAGCATTACAAGTCTCCCCTTTCCTCCAAAAAGAGATTACATAATTTATAAAATTAATAGGCAAAAAAGACATACTCTTCTCAAAAAAGACAATCTTCTCTGTATCGTTCCAATTTTAGTCTATGTGCTGCCGAAGCGAGCACATATACTAAAATAGGAATGATATAGAGCAGACTAGCATGGCCCCTGCATAAGGATGACACGCAAATTCACGAAGCCTTCCATATTAGGTTCCTGCTACAGGAATTCACATAACATGCAACGCAAATCCGGGGGTACAACAATTTAAAGGTATTTCCATTACAATCTCCACCCCTGGCCCCCTTGGACCAGACCATAGGGTTTAAGGATGCAATGAAGTCCCGCCCTTGCCCTTGCTCCAGCTTGGACCTACCCACAGGCTGCAGCCCCTCAGGGTGTACCTGCTCCAAGTAGAGCCTTACTCACGAGCCACAGCCTCTCCAGGGTGTACCTGCTGTGGCACTGGCTTACCCACAGCTACACTCGCTTTGAGGCGCGCCTGTTCCAGCATGGCCTCATCCCTGGGCCACACCACCTTCAGAGATGTTCCTGGCTCCAGCGTGGTGTTACCCACAGCCACAGTCCCCTCGGGAGTGACCCTGCTCCAACACAGCCTCACCCACAGCTGCAGTCCCTCCAGGGGGGTACCTGCTCTGTCGTGGGCTTATCCATGGCCACATGCTTTGAGGTGCTCCAGCACACCCTTGTGCACAGCCACGGATGCTCCGAGGGGTACCTGCTGCAGGCGTGGACTTTCCCACAGCCATGGATGCTCTGAGGGGTACCTGCTGCAGCGTGGACTTATCCGTGGGCCACAGTCCCTTCCGAGGTGTACCTGCTGTGACACAGACATTACAACGGCCACAGACACTTCGAGATGTCCCTGCTCTGGCGTGGGCTCATCTACAGCCACAGACGTTTTGGGGGTTCCTGCTCCCACACGGACTCATCCACAGGTCACAGTCCCTTCGACTCAAGTTCCCACTGGAGTGCCAGCCTGCCCAGTGCAGCAGCACAGAACCAGCAGCGATGCCCCGGCCCTCGGCCAGCCCAGGCACTTGGCCACTGCTGTTATCAGAATGTGCCCAGGCACAGCAGCGTCAGATGATAAGCAATACAGCAGCACAGCAAGCAGCGAAAGCAAAAAGCAGCCACTAATGAGCACCAGACTCTAATATACAGTAAACCAAGCATGCCCCCTGGCAAGGACAGGAGCCTGTCAATTAATAGGTAAACAGCAATAACAGCTATAAATTCGATCTGGCACATTCCAATCAAATCTGTCATTATCTTGAACCCTTCAAGCCCCACATTGGGAGCCACAAAGGACTGTCGTGGCTTAACCCCAGCCAGAAACTAAGCACTGCACAGCCACTCACTTACTCCCCCTCAGCGGGACGGGGGAGAGAATCGGAAGGGTAAAAGTGAGAAAACTTGTGGGTTGAAATAAAGACAGTTTAACAGGTAAAGCAAAAGCTGCGCACACAAGCAAAGCAAACCAAGGAATTGAATCCCCACTTCCCATCGCAGGCAGGTTCAGCCATCCCCAGAACAGCCGGGCTCCATCACGCGTAACGGTGACGTGGGCAGACAAACACCGTCACTCCCAACATCCCCCCCCTTTCTTCTCCCCCAGCTTCATACACCGAGCATGACGCTGCATGGGCTGGGATGTCCCTGGGGCAGCTGGGGGCTGCGGTTCCAGCCGTGTCCCCCCCAGCCCCTCGCTGCTGCGGTGGGGTGAGGAGCAGGAAAGGCCTTGGTTCTGTGAGCCCTGCTCAGCAAAAACAAAAACATCAACACTGTTTTCAGCACAAATCCAAAACACAGCCCCATACTAGCTACTATGAAGAAAATTAACTCCATCCCAGCCAAAACCAGCACACATTCTTTACAAATTCTATTTTTATCTATACTGGTTTGGAAATTGGAGCAAGGTAGTGAAAACAAACTAGCTTAATTTATTTTCAAGTAAGTATAACTTATAACCTTTCACTTTTTCGTTCTTTATATTTTATTCCATTTCAAGCTATTCTTTTCACGGCAAATTTCTCTTCAATACAATAATTTAGCATATTTGTAAGACCAAATCCTAAATGAAAACACAGTATTTACTTTTACTGAAGCTAAAGAATTAAGAAAAAGCGATGCTACCCTTCAGCCTCATCATAGTTCCTTTCCTCTGGAACCTACCAAAGGTGATCATTGAAATAAACAAATGAAAACAGCATACAAAAAATAATTCACTATTATCTCCTTAGAGTTTTCTTGTCAGGATCTTAACATTTTAAAAGCTAAAGTTTGATAACAGAACAGTTTCTTGCATTCATGAGAAACCTGTTACACGTAGGTGAATCGGTTTCTAATGGTACCTCCAGTCAAAAAAGGCTGATTTTTTTAGGCTATTTTAAACAATCCCCCTGCTTTCAGATAGAACCCAGGACAGTCTTTAACTCCATCTCTTACCACTGAGAACTTCTCTTTCTTTTGCTTGTTGAGCACACGCCCTTACCCTCAGCCCCCCGTCACCTCCCAGGCCTGCCACCAGCAAGAGGCTGTGTGAGTACGTACGGCCCTAAACGTCTGTAAAGACAGTCCTAACGGCGCACGTCTGTTCTTCCCACTTTTAGTTTCTTTTTGAATAGACGAGGTACAGCCCCAAGTATTACATAATTCAGCAACCCTCCATATTTGATTTTCACTTGCACTACAGAAGGACAGCTGTACGGAACACAAGCACCTCGCTGGTCAGCGCTGGCCGTAACACCTACTCGCAGGAGTCACCAGCAACACGCCAGCCTCTACACAGCCTCTATGTAAGGCCCCGGTACTACAGTTTGCAGCAGTTTTAAGAGCCTACAGGCGAGTAAGGCACCTACACCGGACAGAAGATTTCTATTTGGTGCAAGCTGCATGTCACCACTTGTCACCACGAAACACGTCAGTGCGGTTTCTAAACTGCGTCTGCTACAAGGTCCAATGACAGAACGGGCTGGGTTTGAGAATCCCCAAGGGCCCCTCCAATCCCATCATTGGTGTGACTGCAACCACTTACAAACAGGCAACATACTCTCCTCGCTCCTTCTCCTCTAGTTATTAGCTCACGTACTCAGCAGCCGCACTACCTGGTTTCCAAAAACTGCTGATCCTCACCTGAGAAACCAGCACCCTGCCCCAAGGAGAGGGCTCCTTCGCCTGCCCCCAGCTCCCTCTTCTCCCACCACCCCCACTAACTGATTTCATCCAACTCACCTACTAATTTAATCTTTGTTAAGTAAAGTTTTTCCCACTGATTAAAGGCCAATTATAGGGAATTCTGGCGTTCAGAAAGAATCTGAATTGGCCATTTCATATGCAGTCTGCTATTATTTCAATAAAAATTTATTAACTTACTAAAATTAAACTGTGAAGTGATATTCCATACTTCTCCACTCATCTCCAGCATCCAAAAGCTTTTCTAGATACCAAGTTCAGGATCTCTGATTTTGAAAACCTTTTTAAATGCCTGCTCTCAGATAAGACTGTTTTTCTTAAATATTTTACATTGGCTCATATTCTAATCTACTGCGTGTTTTAAGAGAACTAAGATGCACAGTTCTTTAAGAAAAAGTTTAATTTTACCGACATCACCCTCATCCTGGGACAATGCAATTAATTTTGAAGCAATTCATACATAACACAAGATTAACAGGAATTTAACAGGCAAAACAAACCATCAAAGGACCTGGAAGCAAAAGTAACCCCTGAAAAATATATGAGAGAAAAGAAGAGCTAAGTAATATACAAACTGAGATCAGGACATGAAACTATTAAGTCTGCAAGGAAGTGCTATTGTTGTTTGTTTGGTTTGGTTTTGTTTGTTTGGTTTTTAAGTTAACATGCATGGACTGCATTCTTGCATAACTAATCCACATGTGTGCATGCAGCACATGCACGTTTTCAGCACTGATTTATTAAAAACCTTGAGCTGATGGCTTTAGTAACTTATTGCTTTAGAAAGGTAACAGAAAACTCTGAGAAAGAAGCAAAAATAAGCAAGAGTTAGAAAATATGCAGATACACAGTGATACATGTTTATGGAGTAGATGTGTTAATTTAAAATATGTTATTGCCAATTTACACCTTGTGATGAAATTAAAAGCTACAGAAAAACTATACATTTTATTTATGATAGCACATAATAACTGTATTCATACACGCCTCATTTCTAAGTCATACGACAGATCACACAACCCTTTCCTGACAACACACCGATTTGGCAGTCAACTCCCATCAAAGCCGTACCGTGCATTCTTGTCTCTTAAACGTGCCAGTGAATGAATCAGAAGTAGTTAAAAACTGCTCAGGAGAGCAGGACAGCAACAGGCTGCACCAGGGCTGACGGAGGGCCAGCGGCACGGCACGGCACAGCCCCTGTGCCGTGACAAACCCCGGCCCGAGCCCCGCTTTCGGGAGATGCTGCACCCTGAAGCAACCGCCGTGCGCGGCGTCTGACGTGTCCTGGCAGCACTCCCCTGGCAGAGCTCCCCTTCCACACGAAGCCGTACCAGACCCTATTACTACATCATTACATACGATATCACACACACCAGGCGAGCAGGTTCTCCGAGCGATGACAACAAAAATAAACTGCATCAGCTGCTCTTTTCTGTCACAGATACCAGACTCTCAGCTCAGGAGAGACCGGCACGCAGCAGAGCGGCTCTTTTGAAGCTTGGCAACAAAAATCACGAACAGCCCCAGAACTTCACACCTGCGCTCTCAAAAGCAGGCTCTGACGGCATGGGAAGGCACAGAGACACACCACGCAGGGTCTAGAGAACTCACAGATGCGCTGAAGCCAGAAGCAAGGCCAGGCGCCCACGCACCCCGAGCAGCCGTGTCCTTTGTAAACGTCCAGCTGGGAAGGAAGAGAGCAAACGAAGCCCTCTCCCGTCATACACAATTCACACAGCTGGAAAGGAGCTGTATAGTGGCTGGAGGGTTCTCATCCAAGACCAAAAACTCATTTCCTAAAAATTTCACAGAATTGCCAACCACAGACATCCCATTTTCACGCCTCTCTCACCCCACCAGAGAGATGCAGCCGAGCTATTGCCCACTGGTGAACAAAGAGCTCACCCACCTTCAAACCCTTCTTTCTCAACGAGCACTCCCAGGAGAAGCAGGTATTGAAATACTCGGACAGGAACACACACTAAGAGACCCCA